GTCGAACGCGTTCGAATGCCGGACACCGGCGTTCCGCGTTCAAGCACGCTCAAACAGTGAAGTGGAGACCAAAGCTGTCTTTGTCTCCCCTGTAAAAGTCGAACGGGTTCGAATGCCGGACACCGGCGTTCAAACGGTCCATTGGAGGCCAAGGCTTTCTGTCTTTACTCCACACGTCAAACGCGTTCGAACGCCGGCGTTGCACGTTCAAACAGTTTATTGGAGACAAAAGCTGTCTTTGTCTCCACTGCACTCGTCGAACGCGTTGGAACACTGGACGCCGGCGTTGCACGTTCAAACAGTTTATTGGAGACAAAAGCTGTCTTTGTCTCCCCTGCACTCGTCGAACGCGTTCGAACGCCAGTGTTGCACGTTCAAACAGCTCATTGGAGACAAAAGCTGTCTTTGCCTCCACCGCAGTCGTCGAACGGGTTCGAATGCCAGACACCGGCGTTCCGCGTTCAAACAGTGTAGCGGAGACCGAAGTTGTCTTTGTCTCCTCTGCACTCGTCGAACGCCGGCGTTGCACGTTCAAACAGTTTATTGGAGACAAAAGTTGTCTTTGTCTCCCCTGCACTCGTCGAACGCGTTCGAACGCCAGTGTTGCACGTTCAAACAGCTCATTGGAGACAAAAGCTGTCTTTGTCTCCACCGCAGTCGTCGAACGGGTTCGAATGCCAGACACCGGCGTTCCGCGTTCAAACAGTGAAGCGGAGACCGAAGTTGTCTTTGTCTCCTCTGCACTCGTCGAACGCCGGCATAGCACGTTCAAACAGTTTATTGGAGACAAAAGTTGTCTTTGTCTCCCCTGCACTCGTCGAACGCGTTCGAACGCCAGTGTTGCACGTTCAAACAGCTCATTGGAGACAAAAGCTGTCTTTGTCTCCACCGCAGTCGTCGAACGGGTTCGAATGCCAGACACCGGCATTCCGCGTTCAAACAGTGAAGCGGAGACCGAAGTTGTCTTTGTCTCCTCTGCACTCGTCGAACACCGGCGTAGCACGTTCAAACAGTTTATTGGAGACAAAAGTTGTCTTTGTCTCCCCTGCACTCGTCGAACGCGTTCGAACGCCAGTGTTGCACGTTCAAACAGCTCATTGGAGACAAAAGCTGTCTTTGCCTCCACCGCAGTCGTCGAACGGGTTCGAATGCCAGACACCGGCGTTCCGCGTTCAAACAGAGTAGCGGAGACCGAAGTTGTCTTTGTCTCCTCTGCACTCGTCGAACGCAGGCGTTGCACGTTCAAACAGTTTATTGGAGACAAAAGCTGTCTTTGTCTCCCCTGCACTCGTCGAACGCGTTCGAACGCCAGTGTTGCACGTTCAAACAGCTCATTGGAGACAAAAGCTGTCTTTATCTCCACTGCAGTCGTCGAACGGGTTCGAATGCCAGACGTCGGCGTTCCGCGTTCAAACAGTGCAGCGGAGACCGAAGTTGTCTTTGTCTCCTCTGCACTCGTCGAACGCCGGCGTTGCATGTTCAAACAGTTTATTGGAGACAAAAGTTGTCTTTGTCTCCCCTGCACTCGTCGAACGCGTTCGAACGCCAGTGTTGCACGTTCAAACAGCTCATTGGAGACAAAAGCTGTCTTTGTCTCCACCGCAGTCGTCGAACGGGTTCGAATGCCAGACACCGGCGTTCCGCGTTCAAACAGTGTAGCGGAGACCGAAGTTGTCTTTGTCTCCTCTGCACTCGTCGAACGCCGGCGTTGCACGTTCAAGCAGTTCATTGGAGACAAAAGCTGTCTTTGTCTCCACTGCACTCATCGAACGCGTTCGAATGCCCGACGCCGGCGTTCCGCGTTCAAGCACGTTAAAACAGTGCAGTGGAGACCGAAGTTGTCTTTGTCTCCCCGGCACTCGTCGAAGACGTTCGAGCGCCGGACGCCGGCGTTGCACGTTCCAACAGTTTATTCGAGACAAAAGCTGTCACTGCACTCGTCGAACCTGTTCGAATGCCAGACGCCGGCGTTCCGCGTTCAAGCACGTTCAAACAGTGCAGTGGAGACCGAAGTTGTCTCTGTCTACCATGCAGTCGTCGAACGCGTTCGAACGGCGGACGCCGGCGTTGGACGTTCAAACAGTTTATTGGAGACAAAAGCTGTCTTTGTCTCCACTGCACTCGTCGAACGGGTTTGAATCTCAGACGCCGGCGTTCCGCGTTCAAGCACGTTCAAACAGTGCAGTGGAGACCGGAGTTGTCTTTCTCTCCCCTGCACTCGTCGAACGCCGGATGCCGCCGTTGCACGTTCAAGCAGTTTATTGGAGACAAAAGCTGTCTTTGTCTCCACTGCACTCGTCGAACGCGTTCGAATGCCAGACGCCGGCGTTCCGAGTTCAAGCACGTTCAAACAGTGCAGTGGAGACCGAAGTTGTCTTTGTCTCACCTGCACTCGTCGAACGCGTTCAAATTCCGGACACCGGCGTTGCACGTTCAAACAATTCATTGAACACAAAAGCTGTCTTTGTCTCCTCTGCACTCGTCGAGCGGGTTCGAATGCCAGATGCCGGTGTTCCGCGTTCAAGCACGTTCAAACAGTGCAGTGGAGACCGAAGTGGTCTTTGTCTCCTCTGCACTCGTCGAACGCGTTCGAACGTCGGATGCCACTGTTGCACGTTCAAACAATTTATTGGAGACAAAAGCTGTCTTTGTCTCCACCGCAGTCTTCGAACGGGTTCGAAGACGCCGGCGTTCCGCGTTCAAAGAGTGCAGCGGAGACCGAAGTTGTCTTTATCTCCTCTGCACTCGTCGAACGCCGGCGTTGCACGTGCAAACTGTTTATTGGAGACAAAAGTTGTCTTTGTCTCCCCTGCACTCGTCGAACGCGTTCGAACGCCAGTGTTGCACGTTCAAACAGCTCATTGGAGACAAAAGCAGTCTTTATTTTCACTGCAGTCGTCGAACGGGTTCGAATGCCAGACGCCGGCGTTCCGCGTTCAAAGAGTGCAACGGAGACCGAAGTTGTCTCCTCTGCACTCGTCGAACGCCGGCGTTGCACGTGCAAACAGTTTATTGGAGACAAAAGTTGTATTTGTCTCCCCTGTACTCGCCGAACGCGTTCGAACGCCAGTGTTGCACGTTCAAACAGCTCATTGGAGACAAAAGCTGTCTGTCTCCAGTGCAGTCGTCGAACGGGTTCAAATGCCAGACGCCGGCGTTCCGCGTTCAAACAGTGAAGTGGAGACCGAAGTTGTCTTTGTCTCCTCTGCACTCGTCGAACGCCGGCGTTGCACGTGCAAACAGTTTATTGGAGACAAAAGTTGTATTTGTCTCCCCTGCGCTCGTCGAACGCATTCGAACGCCAGTGTTGCACGTTCAAACAGCTCATTAGAGACAAAAGCTGTCTTTGTCTCCACCGCAGTCGTCGAATGGGTTCGAATGCCAGACACCGGCGTTCCGCGTTCAAACAGTGTAGCGGAGACCGAAGTTGTCTTTGTCTCCTCTGCACTCGTCGAACGCCGGCGCTGCACGTTCAAACAGTTTATTAGAGACAAAAGTTATCTTTGTCTCCCCTGCGCTCGTCGAACGCATTCGAACGCCAGTGTTGCACGTTCAAACAGCTCATTAGAGACAAAAGCTGTCTTTGTCTCCACCGCAGTCGTCGAATGGGTTCGAATGCCAGACACCGGCGTTCCGCGTTCAAACAGTGTAGCGGAGACCGAAGTTGTCTTTGTCTCCTCTGCACTCGTCGAACGCCGGCGTTGCACGTTCAAACAGTTTATTGGCGACAAAAATTGTCTTTGTCTCCCCTGCACTCGTCGAACGCGGTCGAACGCCGGCGTTGCACGTTCAAACAGCTCAGTGGAGACAAAAGCTGTCTTTGTCTCCACTGCAGTCGTCGAACGGGTTCGAATGCCAGACACCGACGTCCCGCGTTCTAACACGCTCAAACAGTGCGGTGGAGACCAAAGCTGTCTTCGTTTAGGCGTCGAATTCGTTCGAACGCTGGCGTTTCGCGTTCTAACACGTTCAAATAGTGCAGTGGAGACCAAAGCTGTCTTTGTCTCCATCGCACTCGTCGAACCGGTTCGAACGCTGGCGTTCCGCGTTCGAACGCGTTCAAACAGTGCAGTGAAGACCAATTGGCTCCATTGCACTCTTCGAACGGTGGACGCCGGCGTTCCGGCGTGAAGTGAAGCGTTTGCGCATGCGCCGCGCCGACAGCAGCGCCACCGCTGCGGCGTGACTTCTGACCCAAATTCGTATGAGCCAAGCGTTGGTGTATAACCGTCACTTCGGTTTTAACAAAGGGACCCTCTAATCAATTTGGAACCTCCTTCATTACGGCGATGTTTATGCATATACAAAATACCCCCCCCCCCAAAAAAAAATAAATAAATAAAAATTACAGGTTTTTTTTTTTTACAGCAAAAATAAGCTATGCATAACCGAAAGCTCATTCTCCACCAAACTGTATTGCGCGAGAAGTCCGGACCAGATGCCAAAGTTTCAGCGCTAACCGGTATTTTATTCAAAAGCTATAATTGATTTCCAAAAATTTTCAATGGGAAAAAGGCGGCCAACAGAGCTCTCCAATACATGGTAGAGCTCCATGTATTTGAGAGCTCTGTCGGCCGAAAATGGGCCGGAAAGGGCCCCAGTTTCCCATTGAAAATTTGAGAAAATCGTGTAGCTTTCGATTTAGGAAACGGTTAGGGGTGAAACTTTGGCCTCCGGTTCGAACCTTTTGCGCTACATTTGGGTGGAGAATGAGCATTCGTTTATGCATTGTTTATTTCTGCGGTCAAAAGAACATCCAAAGTGTTAATAAACAATTCTTCACGAATAAGGTATTATACGCAGAAAATATTATGAGCAACAACAGAGGCCTTACGCTCGAAACGTCGAAAAGAAAGCCTCTGCTGCTGCTCACAATTCTTTCTATGTTAAAATAACGCTGTACATTATTTTTTTGAAAGAGGGGGGAGGGGGGGGGGGGGGGGGGGGGGGGATACGTTGTAGTTTGAAGGTTCTCAAGTGTCCTGCTTTGTCTCTTCTAGGGTGGACAGTATGTTCTGGAGTTAGTGGACAATTTCGGCGGCAGCACGACGCTCATATTCATCGGACTCATCGAGATCATCTCTCTGGCGTACGTCTATGGTGAGTTCCCCATAACTTCAGTTGGTTAGTTGTTCGCGGTATGGCGAAGAAACTCCCGAAGCATGTCACTGCGTAACATGAACTTTTTTCCAGTAAGCAGCTGCGCATGTGCGTACCCCCTCTCCCCTGACCGTTGTTTTCTGCTGTCGGCATTTTCGGAGGTCACCGCCCGCGGGACCAACATTGTCAGCACATATGTCTCTACGCGTCTGTTGCTTTCTTGGCGATTCTTTTTTTAGCATAGGTAGTTTTGGGCAACAAAAATATATAAAAACCGATACGACGGCACGATCGATGCCAATATGTTCCGATATGGGTGGAGGAACGTCGGGCTGTCCTCCATTTGTAGTTAGCAGACAACCACCCAGACGACTCTCGCTACTCGAAACAGGCAGGGAAAAGTCCCATTCTTGTAAACTAATTAGAGCAATACACATGGGTGTTTTGAAAACAAATCAAAGCGTGTTTTTCTCACGGCAAGAACAAACTACGAATCGCAGAATTCTCCGAAGCGCTAGCGGTTGGTGGCCGGTGATTACTGATGCCAAAGCTTTAGCACTTACCGTTGTCTTATTTAGAAGTCGTGAGCAATTTGGGGGGTTTTTTCAACGAGGAAATGGCTGCCAGCAGAGCCCGCAGATATGTGGAGATAAATGGCGTCTCTACTACTAAAAACGTGCTCCACTTTCTCGTTAAACATTTTTTAGAAATCGCCTGTAAGTTTTTTTCTAATTAGATAACTATAAGTTCAGAAACTCTTCACCTGGCTCCAACTGAAAATGCTACATTAGGGCAAAGACTAAGCGTTCGGAGACGCGCAGTTAGCTTTTGCGGCGTGAAAACCCCGGTTCTTGTTTCTCCCAAACACCCCCTACTTTGTGCGCATGAGTGTTTTGTTTTTTCCTTAAATTAATTAAATATGGGCAGTTTCATTTTGACTCGGACAGTGGTCGGGGTACAGTATTATTTTTTTATAGACTCTTTGCAGCAGCTGTGCATGGGCGCCGCCATAACCGACCTTCAGTTTTTGTTTTCTTTTGTTCCGGTTACTTCACTTCATCATTACCGTAGCAGGCAAGGCCATGTTAGATTCTACTTTGTCCTTCTCCCCGGCATTGGCCCTTGTGGAGGTTCGTCAACGCACGTTTTAGTGGCTCGTTATCTCGGTAAGATGAGAGAAGGTCAGCAATGGTGGATGTAATCTGGAACGTGTGCAAAGCGTCTCTATTGTTAGATTTTTTATATAAATCATAATGTTGTGTGTGTGTTTATTCAGTCGGAAGTTAGTTCCAATGGGCGTCACGTGTCAGCTGTAGATGAGAAATATAACCAATGCAGCACAACAGCTAGCCTGGAGTCTTTAAAGGGATACGAGACCGAAATTTCGAGCTCACAAAACAAGGCTAGAGCGATAGGCGGGACGCTACAAAACCCCAAAAGCAGCACTCATACAGCCATATCTCTAGCGGACGGCCGTATTTCTGGAAAAGAAATGCGTGATTGAAGACGGGCCGACGAGACATGTGACGTCACGATTTTCATTCCCTCTCCTCCTCGATTCGTCCCATCAAGGCATCGAGCTGGTGAACCGAAGCGAGGAGGAGAGACGCAAGGCGCCGCTTCCCCTCGTTCTCAACTGTTCCATAAAGATCGTAACGTCGTAGTCCTCGCTTGACCGCGCCCTTTTTTTAAAACAAATACGGCCGCTCGTTTCAGATATCGATGTATGAGTGATGTTTTGGAGTTCATAGCGTCCCGTTCAACGTTTCTGCGGTATCTTTATAATACCTATTAAATGAGGGGGAAAAGTTAAAAGGGTGTAGAGGAAACAATAACGCCAGCAGAGGGTGTCAAACACGCGACCTGCGACGGCAGGCAAAAACACTAGTTTCTGCCACTGCGGCTTCTACGGCTCGTAACTCGAGAACAAAAAATCGGGAGAACATGCGGTTTGTGCCCTCCTTCATTTGAGAAATACCCCCAAAACATATTTTTTTAGTGAAAATTAAAAGCTGGATGGACCCTTTCAGCCTGCCCGATATGGGAAATTTCATCTCAAATCGGGCAGAATAAAAAAGTCTGATTTTTAATTTTCACGAAAAAAATATATGTTTTGGGGGCATTTCTCAAATGAATGAGAGTGCAAACCGCAAGTTCCCCAGATTTTTTGTTCTCGAGTTACGAAGCGTAGAAGCCGCAGTGGCAGAAACTAGTGTTTTTGCCTGCCGTCGCAGGTCGCGTGTTTGACACCCTCTGCTGGCGCTATTGTTTTCTCTACACCCTTTTAACTTTCCCCCCTCATTTAATAGGTATTATAAAGATACCTTGACGCATTCAAATAGTTTTAGGAATATGATTGTTTTCTAAAAAACATGTCAAACTCGTCACTCCGGTCGCTTTTCGGTCAAATTTGACAGGTCATTACTTTGTCTGTACTTAAGGTAAATTTTCTTTATTTGGCTCTACAGAAAGCCCAAAGCAAGCCCATTATAGATATAATAATATCATTATTATCTGCCGAAAAGCCGCTCCGCTACCTTCACGTAAACGTTGTGAAAAATAACAAATGTTCACAGATTTCACGCGATTGCGGCTCAAACAGAGGACATACAACCAAAATATTACATTTCTAGACATTTTTTTCTTGTAGTCGACTAATATGTATAAAATAATTTAAAAAATAAAAATTTACAAAAATGGGGTTTTTGATAAAATCGACCTCAAACTTTCAACATTTGTTATTTCTTAGAACGTTTACGTGAAGGTAGCGGAGCAGCTAGTCGACAGATTATAATGATATTATTATATCTATAATGGGCTTGCTTTGGGCTTTCTGTAGAGCCAAAGAAAGAAAATTTACCTTAAGTACAGACAAAGTAATGACCTGTCAACTTTGACCGAAAAGCGCCTGGAGTGACGAGTTTGACATGTGTTTTAGAAAACAATCAAATTTCTAAAAATATTTGAATACATCAAGGTATCTTTATAATACCTATTAAATGAGGGGGAAAAGTTAAAAGGGTGTAGAGGAAACAATAACGTCAGCAGAGGGTGTCAAACACGCGACCTGCGACGGCAGGGAAAAACACTAGTTTCTGCCACTGCGGCTTCTACGGCTCGTAACTCGAGAACAAAAAATCGGGAGAACATGCGGTTTGCGCCCTCCTTCATTTGAGAAATATCCCCAAAACATATTTTTTAGTGAAAATTAAAAATTAGACACTTTTAGCCTGCCCGATTTGAGATGAAATCACCCATATATATATATATATATATATATATATATATATATATATATATATATATATATATATATATATATATATATATTTAAAAATGTATGATACAATTATTCCCAAAACATCATTTACTATATCTTTGTTTACTATTACGTTTTATTACGTACCACTCTCGACATAACCTAACGTGTTCTGATGAAAGTGGAATATCCTTAGTGATTTGCGATATTGTATTTACGGTGTTTGCTTAGATTGCGCCTAAGCAAACAAACAAATATAAGCTCGTTCTGAGCATGCGCCAGTGAATACTCCCTATAGCTGTGCGCCAACTGATGAGCGCGTGCTGCAGGCGTTCACTGTTATTTTGCAACGTGCATTCGGCACCATCAAGACTGTCGGTCTCAGCAGCCTATTAATGTGGGCTCGTTCTGAGCGTGCGCTCTAAACGTCTCCCTCAAATATGGCGTGCATTGAATACCCTCCATTAAAAGATTCGAAGTAAATAACCAAAATAAAGCGTCCGTGGAACGCGCGCGTGCGAAGTGCCCTTAGTTTTAGATTTTTGCTTTCGAACAGCTAGAGCTGAAGACGCCAACCATAGCCTAATATATAGACAAAGCCTGGCAGATCGCCACGAGAAGCGGCCGCCGAAATGAAAAAGGGTGGAGCGGCAGACAACGGATGAGAGGAGAGCCACGTGACTGGCGCCCCGCTGCGGCGAGACGCCAAAACGCAGACGCTGCGGCGAGATACGAGGACCCCAAAGTGTGTTTCGGGTCCTCGCCGCTGCAAAAGCTGTGCGCTGACGTGCTGTGCACGTCAGCGCACAGCACGTCAGCACGACAAAAGCTGTGCGGTTCCCCCTGCACATCAGGCTCTCTGATGCTCTGTGCTACCAGATCCTCGCGCTCCAAATCTGCGACCGGGCACTCTATCGCTCCGTCGTTGAACTGCCAGGTTTTCTATGCGCCATCACACGCAGAGCGTGTACCTACGTTCCCGGCCTTGTTTTTGAGCCTTAGAGTGCGCGGGGCTTTTTCTGGAGTAGATGCTGAGTCGTCGGCAGCAACCTTGATCGGCAGTAACCACAAAAAGCGTGCGCGGCACTATCGGTCGGTGGCGCGCTTTAGAAGGCAGGAAAAGCAGCACATGCGGTTAGAACACCGTCGGAGCCGTTGGCGAAAGAATGCCACGCTGGCTTCTTGCCGACGCAAAAATATGAACGGCTGAGAGGCATATTGTATACTGGCGTTTCAGTTATGTAACTGGACCCTTAATGGAAAATCGGGACTCTATTGAATCTTTCGGGACACTCAACGTAAAATCGGACAACCATGTGGATTAAAAGTTGAAAACCAAATGGGAATTGCTCGATAGATGTGTACTGGTAGCTGACAGTTATCGGAACACTTTTCAAAAATGCCAGCAGCTCTAGTTACGAACATAAATAGAATATCGCAGGATGTGGTTCAGGTCCCCTTTATCACATTGGAAATTTCGTATTCAATGCACACTGGGCTCCGGTTAGGTACACACCGTACAAACTAAAGCAGCAATCATACTGCTCATACATCATACGAAAGACATTGTTCGCTGCAGACTTGATGGCACAGTGATCTGCGGATACGCCCTCAAAATCATGTTCAAAGCACGTTCGTTTGATACATGCTTGAAACATGTCTGCAGTCAGTGTTTGTATGACCGACGACACGGGATTGTCATGCAAGGGAAAACACATGCCTCAGGTGGTGCATGGCGGCTGTCTTTTGTTTGATGCATTAGCAGTGTATATAAAACTTCCGTAAAGGAAGTTTCACCCTGCCTTTCGGTCAACGAAACAAACTCTTTCGTCTGCCACAAAGATGTCCTTCTGTTCGGCAGGGTACGGCCACTTCTCGGACGACGTGTTCTTCATGCTGGATAAGAGGCTCGGCTGGTACTGGAGGATCACGTGGACCGTCACGTCGCCACTCGTGCTCTTCGTGAGTATTCCGCGACAGTTCTCTGTTCCCCCGAGGGCAAGGCCGGTATACGGTGAGAAACTGGGGGTGAGGAGGAGATGAAAGCGCGCGGGAACGTCAAAGCGCCGAGCTCAGGCTGGAAGCATTAGTGGGTAGATTCAAAGGCTAGACAGACAAGGCCGCCGCCTGCTCCTCGCGGAGTCTGGCGTTCGGCGTTCGAACCCTACAGTTTTTTTTTTTGCTTGTTTTTCATTTCTGCTTAATTTTAGTTAGTCCTTGTGATAAGAAACAACCATAATGGACGTAATATCTTAGCAAATGTAGGAGACTCTGTAGACTGTAAGCAACCCTTTACGATACAGGTGCATATTATCTTTACTTTCGGTTTATCTTATACTATTTTAGGCATTAATAAAGATGGGGAAAGAAAGGAAATAGAAAAAATTGCTTGGCAGACTCAAATACCTTACTAGAATACATTTTACTTCGCTCATTTGCACTCGACAATGCGTTTGGAAACTCTTCGTCACAGCACGTCTGTGCATCGCGCTGTCGCGCAGCGCCGAAGGAAAAGGCTGCCGCGTCGACACACCGAGATACCGGATTCGCCAAGACAGCAGAGACGGCTGTCTCCGCCGTCTAGAAGGGTTTCCACGACGATAGATGCGTGTCACCACCCCTTCCAATTCAAAGAGAAAACCTCTAAACTGTGCGCGTCCAGCCGTTCCAACTAAGCAAATCTGTCAGTGCCAAATCGTTTGGATTTTCGTGGAGCAAGGTTTACTCCATAGTGAAACATTTTGCAGAATTATGAGCTGTTGAAAAGAAAAAAGGCTCACACTACTAAATTTCAACAGATCTTGGCTTGTGCATGCACGTGCATAGATAATAAGTGACGCAGCGTTCAAATCACTGGCGCGCGACTTGTTAAGTGGTCGCCGAGCGGAACCGCATGGCCACAAAGGTAACATATGCGCGGCAGGTGACGCAGCCCAATGTACGCACATTATCCGAAAGCAATGAACCAGGAAAACAGATGTTTTAGATGAACAACAGTAGGCACATTTCGGCATGTGGCCACAATGCTCACTGCACTGCGAGCTCACGAATTGTTGGAGAAGCTATAGCGTTTGTACACTGTCCTCCTCATAAGCAATGTCTCTCTGTAATGTTCATCTTCTGTAATGAGATTCGGGATGTTTTGGTCATAGTGGTGATCCTGGACGGCACATAACTGTAACGTCCATCGGTGTGACCATGCGTTCCACAGGCACGTGTTATTTTTTTTTTTTCTTTCTTACTATAGATTTGATTGGTTTTTATAAAAAAAAAAGTTGTGAAAGTACACTAACGTGGTCTGTGTAGGTGAGTTATATGGCAAGGGGGACATAATATAGGGGGACAATCACATTAAAACGGTTAACTATACTAAATGTTGATGAGTGAAAATAAACACAAAATAAACACAAGGTTCTAATTTAAACTTTTTGACCATCATAGCAAACGACAAAACCAGTAAATTTTAGAAAGGCTTGGAGTGGATGGGAAGTGCGGTAGGAGCGCTAAAGTTAACACTCGTGAAACAGGCACAAGGCTGGCAGAAGGAGAACACAGAAGAGACGGGAAAACCACGCGGCTGCGCTTTTCCGCATCGCCAGCCTTGCGCCTGTTGCACGCATGGTAACTTTGCGGACCAATGGGCTTCCCAAGCGCTCCAAGCCTTTCTACAATATACTAATTCAGTGGTTTTTGATTAAGTTCCTATTTGGAACAATACATTTATATTCGCTAATTAAAAAATCAATGATTAAATGGTGGTTAATGCAACGACTTATCATGGCGATTAGCCACCCCCTATGATGTCCTCCTGGCCATAAGTAAATCCCACGTAAAGACTGCAATTATGTATCATATTCCTAACGAGCGTGTTGGTAAAGTACTCTAGATAAGAAAGAATAAAACATAAGAGGACGAAGCAGGGGCGAGTACATTCTTTCAACTCACAACAAAGTTTATTCCATGGAGTGCGATCGCCCGTTTCCCTACATTCTTAGGGAAAGGGGGAAAAGGCAGAGGGGGAAGACTCAGAAGAAGGAAGAACGGGTGGGAAGGACGGAGGGGTGCGTCGACCCGTTGGGGACAGGCCACTCACCAAGGTCTTCTAGTCACCCCGGAAAGCTCCAGGCGCAGAAAATCCATCTCTATCAAAGAGGGCTACCGAAGAAAAAAAAAAAAAAAGAAAAAATAACGCCGGAGTTTTTTTTTGTTTTTTTTTATTGCAAATTATTTATTACTTTTTTTCTTAATCCCTTAGGATGGCGCCCGATAATACGCGTTTTCCTGATCATAGGCTACGTTTACATGGATGCGACTGCAGCGCATCGGATCCAGTTAACGAATCGAATCGGTCCATGTAAACAAGTCGGATCGGATCGGATCGCATCCGATCCGATCCGCTGGGACGGGGTGGTTTGAGATGGTCAATCCGAATCGAGACTCTTCATGTATACGCTAGCGGATCGAATCGAGTGCTCGAGCGAGGGATTGCGGGAGCTTTGCTTCGCCTGCCGCTAGGCAAACCGGACACCTCGAAAACAATCTGAAGGTCACGAGGTTTGCGTTGTGATCCTTCGACACGAGGTGCCGCTGCTGGCCGATCCGAATCCATGTAAACTTAGTGGTTGAAGTGGATCCGATTCTCTAACTGGATCCGATGCGCTGCTGTCGCATCCATGTAAACGTAGCCCTAGGCGCACATCCTCCGCGTGTGCGGCGATGTGCTGCTATCGGGTCCACCAAATCCTCGCTGAAATCGGCGACGTTTCAAAAATGCTCTTTGCACCCCAATAGCAAAAAAAAAAAAAAAAAAAAAAAAAAAAAAAACGGGTGCGTAATACGATTTATGTCGGAGTCGTGCCGCCTTACGATTCCTTTTTCGAAATGCCTTGAGAGAGCATTTCCGAGAGATCGTCGATCCCAGCGAGGATTCACTGCACCCGATAGCAGTACATCGCCGCACATGCGGAGGATGTGCGCCTAGGTTCAGGAAAATGAGCGTTCTCGGGGGCCATCCTCAGAGATTCGGAAGGGAAGTAATCAAATCATTAAAAAAAAAAAAAAAAAGAAAGAAGAAAAAAGAAAAAAAAAAGCCAACGATACATGTTAAAGCATGTTCCCCTGAATGAGGCTCGCGCTGCACGAGCGCGCGTGCTTTGCAGGGACACTAACTATACTTCGTCTCACGCTAGTATCGACTAACCGCGAAGGCTGTGCTAGCGTGAGCGGCCAGCCTTGGCTGCCTTGACTAGAGCACTTGCTGCACGAGCGTGCATCCGCCGCGGCTTCATTCAAAGCGACTAGCTTGCGCTTTTAGCACGCGCGGCTAACAATAGTCCATACTAAGGTAAGACGAAGTATAGTGAGTATTCACTGGAGGCCATAGCTGTGTGCGCGAATGCTGAGCGCGTGCTGGTGGCGAGCTTCCACAGTTCTTTTGCAACGTGCATCCCACGCCATCAAGAGTGCCGATCTTAGCAGCCTATGTGAGCTCGTTCTGAGCATGCTAAACATCGTCCTCAAATATAGCGTTCAGTGAATACTCCCTATAAAAGCTCGGAACTCGCTCTTATAGGCTCTGGCACTTATAATGGAATGTGTAGAAAAAAAACAAAAACGGTAGTGGGGAAGCGTAATGACGCACGTTCGAAACGCGAGCCAAATATTCTATTTTGCTCGCCTGGAGCGCTGCTCAAAACTTGAGAGCTACGGGCCTTATAGGCCCGTAGCTCTCAAGATTTGGAGCGCGAGGATATGGTAGCACAGAGCATTTCTCGGGGAAGCTGGTAGTGACCGCACAGCTTTTGCAGCGGCGAGGACGCGCGAGGAACGCGAGGAGCACGAGCGGACATTCCATCGCTCGGGAGAAATGTGTTTCGGCGTCTCGCCGCAGCGGGGCGCCCGCTATATGACTCTCCTCTCATCCGTTGTCTGCCACTCTACCTTTTCATTTTCGGCGGCCGCATCTCATGGCGATCTGCCAGGTTTTGTCAGTATCGAGGAGGCTATGACTGTATATATATAGAAAGCCAGTTTCTTAGCCAAGCACAATGACAATATTTTTGGTAGCTATTAGGGCTAACATATAAGGACCCCTTTAGAAAGAAGGGGACGTCTGTGCATGAGTGTGCACCGGTAGATCCAAAAGTTTTTATTCCCTGGGGCTGTCTGTGCAAGCTTTGCATTGCACACCAATCGCGTGTCGCACTACTAGGAGCTTCAGTAGATCGTTCCAATGGCTCCGACAATAAAACCCGATAATTCGCCGATGCCTTTCCAGATGCATCGCATCGTTGTCGGAGGTATTGGAACGATCTACTAAATTTGGCCCTAATGAGACAAAGAGTTCGAGCTAAAACACCTTTGAGCTCGGACGTCAATCCCACAGTATAGAGCTTTAGAATAGGGGGCCTCCAACACCGTGGGTCCTCCGAACACCTTAGGGCGTCGCACAGAGGACGAGCAGAACGTCTGAGCATGTGCAGTACAACGCCCCGGGTTGCTCGGGGCACCCAAACCGTTGGGGTTCCCCATTCTAAAACTAGTCTCTTTTGAATGACCTCCACCATAAACTGATTATCTTCAGTTTATTTGACCTGGGACGAGGAACCTTTCATACGTCCACTGACCAGCGAATGTCCGTCTCAATTCCTCCAGATCATCTTCATCTTTGCCATGCTGGACCAGAAGGACCCGCTCAAATACGGCAAATACGTGTACCCCAGCTGGGCCGTGGGCATCGGCTGGGCCATCACGCTCTTCGTCATGCTCCAGATTCCCTTCTGGGCCGGCGTCAGCATCTACAGGGCCCCCGGCAACACCTTCCTCCAGGTGTGGGCACGGCTACGCATCTGCTATCGAGCTTCGCAGAAAGTTGATAGATGTGTTCGGGTTTTATCTATTTTAAACACGAGATTGATTATTCGATCTGGCCGAGTGCCGAAAACAATGCGGAAGAAAGAAATAGTGTAAGTTTAACAGTTTAATTAACAACCTCTTGTTGATGTAAGCCTTGCCACACTAGAGCAAAAGCTGTTTCAGTTTCTAGTTAGCAAAATACGATTTGCTTTTTCCTTTGCATTTTGTTTTTTCACTGTAGTACATTAGATAACTAATGGACCATGAGGCAGAAACTTGAAAGCTCCAATTTGATCAGAAGAGCACCACTTTGTGCATGCGTTCAGTGTAATTTCTTGCCTGATGATAATTTGAGTTAGATGAAATTAAAGGCACATAGAAAGCAACATATGATACACAAACACTACTTATAAGAACATTTCCAGAAACATTTTTCACGAAAATGGTTGATTTAAATCACGGGTCGGCAACTCATGACCCACAAGGAAGTCTCATCTGGCCCCTGGCACAATACCAATAAAGCCATGCCAGCCCTCCCCGCCAGGCACCCGTGCCGCTTCCTCACACAGACTCAAGGACCACATGACAGTTTTGACCTCAAATGGAATAAGAGATAAACAAGGAGCACTTCCACTTGGTATTGTCCGGCATCCCCTTACTTGCGAAGAGAAAGTCTTCACTTTCTTTTTGCCTTTTTTTCTCCTTCGCGACTTGCCGTTTGGCCCCCTCCATGTCGGCCTTCGTGACAACTGGACCCGCCGATGCAAAAGGCTGCCGACTCCAAATTGCAAATCATCATAGAAAAACCACTGTCAAGGTAACACGTGATGTAACATCACGTGACATCAGCAGACATCATAACGTGACACAGTGATAATGACGTCACATGACTTAGAAAATGGGACACCGTGACATCACAGAGGACCAATAAATGCATTAGAGTGCGGTCAACTCTACGTTAAATTGCACCTATGACAAAGAACCAATGTTCACTTATTTCTGTTTCCATTCATTGTCAAGAGTTAGATTAGAAAAAGAAGTTTGAATGAAAATATTTCCTTGGCTTACGGGATCAATGAAGCAATGCCACGAGTGCAGCATAAAGACCTTCCGGCTATAGCTGGAAGGCCTTCAGCTATATAGCTATATGCTGGAAGAGGTAAAGGCCCCGGCCTTTACCTTTTCCAGCACGCTATTTAGTATTTCCGTATTCAGAATAGTCTCGTCAATTGGGCAAATGAAGGCGACGTCAAAACTAACATTTAGATATGCCCGCGCTTTTCACTGCTGCGACGTCCTTGGCAGGCAGTTTTGCAGTTAGAGCTGACAGTCTGGAAAACAGAGCATGCCGCGCATTTGCTTCCTACCGCTAAGCGAGTGTTGGAGCGAGCCTCACAAGCATTGGTTTTACGCCATCATATCTTTTTTTGTATTCACCATGTTTTTATTGTTTCCGGTAAGCTTTCAGGTTTAAAAAAAACAAAAATTGGTGAAGATCAAAATTAAAGAAGTCAATAAAAAGAGCTAATATCGTTTTAATATTTGGGTTACTAGTTAAGCGACGTTTGCCAGTGTGTTTAGACAATTCTGAAACAAATCAAAGATCACAAAAAAAAGTATAGAGTTCCCATTTCCACGACGCCTTCACACAGAAACTCCGACGAGCCACGAGGCCCTCTCCGGCCTGGGGTCCATCGGACGCGAGCCTCAAGGACCAGTGGAAGGTGGCCACGGGACAGACGGCCCCGGGCATCAAGGTGGAGCTGCGCAAGTTCACACCCGGCGAAACCACCAACGATTTGGGCGGCGTCGAGAACAAAGCTTACACGGTGTCCGAACAAGACGCCCACTGAGGGTCGTTGACGTCAAGTCTGCAATTCCGGTGCCTCGGTGTGTTCGGCGTCCCGGTATGGGCGACGTGCACGACCGAAAGCGTCGCTGCTGTCGGCCTTCCGCGATTGGACCAACGCTCGCCTGAGCATCTTTATAGTCGGTGGCAGGATTAGAATGATAGGAAGGTCTTTCAGCTGTCTCGCCTCTAGCGCAAGCTTCCCACCTTCGATGACACTTCGGCGTCTTGCGAGCTTCGACTTCGAGCATGCAGCGCAGCCAATGCACCATGGAAGGCAACAGGCGCATGCCGGAGGTTCGACAACCGAAAGAGATGTCCTGTCATTCTTGTCCTGACAGCGAGAACAGTACGAATAATTCTTTCATCGCAAGAATAATGCAAGAGCGTCACCTTTGGTGGTGAAAGAATGCGACAACTCCAAGCTTCCATCGAACTTGTTGTTCGGAGCTGATAATCCTGGTCGTGACGTAACGGGTAGGAACTATAAGGGGGCGTCGCCGATACGTCTCGTCGCCGATACTGCACATGCGTCGGACGCCCTGGCAATGAAACAGAACTGCCGATGGTACAAGCCGTCGCAATCCCGGCGATTGGTTGTAGAAGCGCCAGGGTCGCGACGACCCGCAGCTGCGACGTTGTCGGCAGGCCGTATTCGAGAGGATAAACTGAAGACGTGGTAAACACACCGGTCGGAGACATTGCACCATGCCGGCATCTCGCCTGCGAACAGAGTGGCACGACGTAGCAAACGAGGCAGACAAAGCGGAATTCGCCAGTTCTGCTCGTCAACATACTCGTGACCTCGCAAGTCGACACACCCGAGCAGAGGAGGGGAAAGGCGGATGCAAGGGGGGGGAGAGACTTCGTCATAAGTTGGAGAGCCTTTCGCATTGCCCAAATTTAGGACCAACACACAAATCAAGGTAGTTTTACCACAGGACAGCTGTGTCACGAGTTGGCCAAAGAAAAGGAAAATCATTTTCTTTGGACAACTTTCTATATTTTCTCCCTTCAAATGTATTTTTGAGATGATACGGAAAATCTACCAATTTAATGGATGCAGTCTTTTAGTAGACTTTTAATAGCCCATCGCATATCTGCAAGTGAACCAGTTGCTTGAAAACAACTAGTAGGCTATGGTAACAATATGAATGGAGCCAGAGACGGAGGAAGCATTTTGGACCAGGCAAACTCGGTCCACCCAAAAGTAACTTCACCCCCCCCCCCCCCCCCCCTTTTCCCTCCTCGATCCCACTGTGGTTTTTTGTAAAATCTTCATACTTAAGCAAGGCTTTTGCGGCTGTTCGTGTGCATGTGTATATGAAGAGTCTACCTGTAAGTGTGTTGCATGCACTCATATAATGCCTACTGAAGTTTCAGCAGTTTGACAGCTTATAAATACTTCCTAGTCTTCGAGACGTTGAAAGTGGGCTCGACAGCAGCACTGAAATAGGGCCCAGTATTTAGGTTATGGAACCGGTGAACAAGTTATACAACATGTACAGTTCATTGTGATGTCAAGTATCAGTGCTACAAGCTTCACAGCCTACAAAATGGAATGAAGTGCTTTTGTTGTGCCCTTTGCAATCAATGCAGTTAAACCACGATTTAGTCTGCATATTTTGTAGTTTGAGCCTGTGTACATTGGGATTCTAGGAATTGGCTCGCACATTCCAATAGTTCCCATTGCAGAAGTGGCCATAATGGATGTTGCTCATGTTCATCATCATTCAAAACCTAATTGCATCCCATTCAAAATGATTGCAAAAGATGATTTTTTGTTGCACGTTCCTGCCATGTTTTTGTAATAGGGTAGTTCAATCGTCCTCATGCATTCACCCCCCCCCCCCCCCCCCCCCCCCAAAAAAAAAAGAAAAAAAAGACGACGAACAAGGCACACTGCCGAACAAGCTGCCTTTGTAGCAGACATTTCATAGCAAGGCATATAATTCCAGAAATCTGTCAGCTATACCAAGTGACAAGTGTAAATACAACAAGTAACAATATACAATTTAAACGGTTGTGTGACAAGTTTCGATTCTATAAACCACTTTCGTTTCACTGTGTTTTTTACAGTGCGAGCTTTTTCGGCTAGGCATGTTCAAGCCGTTTATGCGATGGTCACTTTGCCAACCCTGCCTTTAAGTTTCATCTTAAAGCCAACTTTTAAAACTGCTTTCCTACAAACCCACAAATGCACTAGTGGTAGTGCCCTTTTCCGCTTCTGCAGCTCAATCATCCCATAAGCTAGTATAGAGGACATGGACATTTTTCAACGACACTCGAGCGTTCGGAATCTCCACGGCCGGGACTGGCCATCAACCATCGCGACACGACTCTGCTTCCTTAGCCTGCCACGATGTGCATTTGTGGTGCTGTAGAAACCCCCCCCCCCCCCCCCCCGTACACATCGCCTTTGTTGCCAGATTGCTACAGTAGAACCTTACCATAGTAAGGGCTGGCATATACTTTATCTCGCTAGTTGGGCGCAGCGCTGCCAAAGGTACAGGGGCGAGAGTGTAACCAGAGCAGTTGGAAAGGAGGGCAAGAAGGAAATCTCTTCTTAGCCGGACCCTCTTCTGTGTACCCCACATCGCTTTGCTCTCCCTCGGAGATTAGCCGGTCACTCAGAATTTGTACAAAAGAGGTTGCCTCTTTCTATCGCCCATAGCCTCCGCGGTACTGTGGCCAACTAGCGAGATAAACTACAGTAAAGACAACAAGGCATGTAGGGAAACAAATTTGAAGGTGCTAGTGCTACTGGTGCAGGCATTTGAGGTACTGATGCAATTAAGATATATATTGACATGTTTTGAAGAAACCAAATTGCACTAGCTCGATTATTTTGACAAATACCAGGAAGTACAGGATGTGTTGTGAATGAGCTGGGCGCAACCTATGTGTGACGTCGCTCACGTCGAGAGGTCACATGGCAATCTTTCACGACGGTTCTTTCATAGATGTCGGCTGATAAAACTCATTGCGTTTAAACGACTTCACAGAGGTTCAGCTTTGTGTGTACTAGCTACTCAAAATCCGGGTCAAGCGAAGTACAAAATGTTGAGGCAGCAGTAGGATTGAGATGAAGAAAACACGAGCTCTGCCTACACGATCATAAAATGCTGTCAAGGGAGAGACATGTGAAAGGGAAACTGAAACTCACGAGTCAGAAAGTTACTATGTTTCTTACATAAGGACATACCACTATATCTAAAAAAGCTAAGAACTGAATATGCCAATTTGAAGTTGTGTATTGTTCCTACCATATTTTGGGTATATTATGATCTGGAATGACTCATCTTAAATGTATCAGGACAGTTCCAGGTATAAGCAGAAACGGCTGCCAGTGTTGAAACATCGTGATCATACTCCGAACCAACGATTTCAAAATTGCTGTTTATATCAATTCACGAGGCAAACTAGGATCTTTTGAGTCAGGGGAGAGACGTCTGCCGTAAAATGTTAAGCCGCTAGCTAACAGAGACTTGTAGCAACCAACAACACAGTGTCATATCATTGCATTGTTATATATGCGCTATATATCTACTCATTTTCTCTAGACATTACTATCAAGCTCTCAGTCACTCCGACGTTCTGCAGTCGTTGAATGCATGTCCTCTGTACAGTACTCGTGCAATGCCGCTTTTGAAGTTTGTCACAATTTTTTCAAGTTTATATCACATGAGCGAATGACGTTTTAGAGAACAGCAGTCGTTTCAGCAAATCTATGTTTTAGTGCAAAACTGGGGCGCGTGCTAACTCACCCGTCCCCCTGCGATCACGCCGCTTCGCAGCGACAGCCTGTGGTGGCTCATTACAAAGATGTTTACCTACCTGGGCCACCCACAAACACCGCTTCGAGGCGGCCAACCATTCGCTACAGTGTCTTTCGATGAAAAGTTGGCGCTCGCTAAAACATTGTTTGACCGAGTGCAACCCATTTTTTTTTTTCATATACATAAAAGTGTTCATTAGCAGAATAACCAAGCTTGTTCACTTGTTGCAAGTGTGAATGCCATGTTGCACCAATGCTGCTGCATAGAGCAGAAATAAAGAAATGGGACAACTGAATCGGTGGGACTCTAATCTCGCAAAAATGGACAACGCTGCAAGAGCACCACACAATAAACAGTGTGCGTTAACAGGTATAAAGCTGGGCGATAAGCTCCAGGACAAGCAAACCTCCCCCAACTAATATAAACTTTGCTCGAAATCAGAACTGCTCCTTGATTGTTGTGGGAACATTAGAAAGAAAAAGAAAATGACAGGATCAAACTTACCTTGCAACTGCACACGGAGAAATGGGTGCAAATGGCTCATCGAACTAGGCCTGCCAGGGACCTGGAGCATTCTGTGAGCTGTTCTCGAAGTTGTGTCACACCTAGCACTCACCTGTTGTACCAGGATGCGCCAGATGATATAATGAAAAGGCTAAAAACAAGGGGGTGGGGAGCAAACCAGTAGCACCTAGAAGAAAATGCCTGCACCTTTCCTCCCCAAATGTCATCAATAGTAGACCCATGCAGCGCCACCTAGCTTGCGTCAGCATACCTGCCACTTTGTAACATACTTTCACCGACCTATTGCGTGCTGCTGCTTGAGGGCGGGTCAGGGACCCGTTAGCAAAGACGTCATGCGTGGGCCTTGTCCTCTAAGTGGTACTGATCTAACCCAGAACCTCTGGGTTCTGCAGTAAGACTTCTTGTTCCATATGCGCTGAACTGTGGCGCGCTAATGCACTCGGCCACCGACCACCCGTGAGGGCCTTTATGGTTTGTAGGTGCAAATTCTAAAAATATCGCAATTTTTTTTTTTTTTTTTTTTTTTTTTACGTTAAACGTTTTGTGGTTAGGTGTTTGGCATTTTGTGAAACCCAAAAGCCAAGCCTGGATAAAAGTGTGCCCATCAGGCTCGACACCGATTGGTTAACAAGGTCATGTGACCAGGGGTGGAGTGAGGAGGAGAGGTAGGTAAGAAGGTTCTGGAAGATCACCAGGTTTATCATTTCAAGTGTACATATGACATGCCTTAAATTATCTGTTGAAGACCACCTAGATGTGCTGCTAAACTATGATATAAATGTTTGTGATGCTAGAACATTTCCCATATGCAACAGAACTGCCTAACAATTTGCCACACCTTTTTTTCACTTGGCCATAGGTTGTGGCATCGGTTTCAGATGCCTAAACACAAGGCACCACCAAGGGTAGCCCTGAATTACCATTGTCCCAAACAGTGGAAACAAAGGAATTGCCAAAAGATGGACATTGCCCCACTGTGTGAATAAAGAGCTAGCCTAGGGACCCGCAACTTGTAACGAGCGGATTTATTCAGGGCTCGAAACAACCTCAAGCACACCAACTACCTTTGGCTAGACGAAAAGTGTTTCTCTTACAGGGGTGCTCTGCCACTGGTGCTACAGTCACTGACCTGCCTCAAAATTTGCTCAGCACCCCCCCCCCCCCCCCCCCCCCCAATACACATCAATGAACAAACATAATGCCAGCATAATTTTTTTTCTCTCGCAAGGTTCCTCAATTTTCAATTTGGGTCATAACTGCTTTTCAAACTGAAAGTTTCTACTGGCAACACTGAAAAAGTGATGCCAGCAGCGGGCATGGGTTAAGTGTTTGGGGCAGGGGAATTTTCTCCCAACTGGATGCAAGAAGTTTGATGGTGTGAAATGAATGCTGCAGAAGCTCACTCGTGTACTTGCTCGGCAGCACTGAACAAATGTGACATACTGTTTTCTGAACTGCCTGCCTCTGCCTTTCAGCGATGTGACGCCATTAAAAAGCGGGGACAAATTTGATTATTGGTTCTGGCATTGCCTTCATTTTGGAGTTTTCTCAATAACTATATGCGGAATTTCAAGGTACTAAATTACAATCCGAGAAGAGTGTTGCCCTAAGTATTCAAACAATATGCCATATTTTCCTGTCCGCAGGAAAATATGGCAACCCTTGTAAGAGTTGTAGCTCCCTTTCAACATCACCTAAAAATAGCCTTTTCATGAAGTTAGTGAGAAAGTCGCACTTCTTTGAGCCGTCGGCACGGCGAAACTGCAGCAGCGACCCATGACACGCTTCAGACCGACATCAACAGCCTAAATCTTTCACAATTAAGATCCAAACTCATAAAATAAAACCTGTTGCTTAAAATGCACCAAAAAAAAAATCTGAAAAAAAAAAAGATGCAGCGTATACACTAACTTGTGTTTCCAAACAAACCGGAGCGCCACAGCGGCACGCCATTGGTGTTGCGAGTGCTGCTGGGGCGCTCGCGTTCCGCATCGACAAACCATTGGAATGTGGTGTGGTCAACGTCAATGTGAGTCCCCGTGCTCTCTTCTGCATTGTAATTGTTGATTCTATGTCTTCCTATCAATGTCTTGTTGCTTTAGTGTCCTGAGCAGGGCCGGATTAAAGAATTTTGGGGTCCTGGGCTAAGGCTATTCAAGAGGCCCCTAATGGTGGTGATATACCGACTATGATGACGATGGTGGTGGTGGTAACGACCATGACGGCAATGTGTATGTTTCAATAACTTGTAAAAATACAAATATCATTCATTTTATGCTATATCTCGGAAGGTTTTTGTATCTGTAGATGCTATGATTAGGAAATTAGGGTTTCACTGGGTGGAAATGAAGCAGATGCGGTTGTGAATTAGAGGCTGTTTCGGAAATAGCCAATCACTAAGAGATACAAAACGCAAAGCAATAAACGATTAGGGAAAATGATAAGTAAGTGTCGCGCATGTTGAGCAGGGCCTCGCAAACATTCGCTGAAAAGTTGAAAATAATGACTCCGCGTTTAATGAACTGGTGTGTGACCAAGTCTACAACTTTATTTATACAGTACGTGTCTCTGTTGACTAATTAAGAACTTTCTTTTATCCATTTGGACATATTACTGTAAGCTAAGAATAATAGCTCATACCTCAAAGGCAGGAGAAGTGTTGTCTCGCACTGGCAGATTACTGAGATCAGACACAGGCTTCAGAGCAGTTTCTTGCAGTTGCTGCCTCTCGAAAACTTTTGGGCGACATCTCAAGAGCCGGCTCCTTGACACGCCTGTTAGTGGTTAGAAAGGATGGCTTCGGGGGGTTCACCGATATTTCTTTTTGCTTGTTTTGAAATTTTTCGTTTTGGAGGAAAATTTTTATATAAAACTACGCTAAATGACAAAAAAAATTTTTTTAATGTGTAGCATGTATGTTGCTAGTGTAGCCTTCGGCAACACTTTTTTTTGCTTGCCTTCCAAGCCACCATTCTCCGCGAAATTCGTCGGGGCCCCAGTACAATAGAGAACCCCGTGGCCGTCCTACCGTCTGGCTTCAATTAGAAAAGATTTCAAACGGGACCACCAGCATCGACAGCTTTGCTCCTTTCCACAAGAAGGGTGGGAGGCAACGCAAACATTTTGTTACTGTCTTTTACAAAGAGTTCACGAACACCAGCTCGTCTAGAGAAGGCAACTTTTTGGCAAGACTATAGTGACTAGAAAGCCAGGGCCCAGAGGCTCATGTGATCCTCCTTTAGGTTTGAGTTGTTTTAAATTGAAACCGACTAGCCTTCTTTTTCTTTCATATTTCCAGGGGCCAACACGGGGCCCCTTGGCAGCCTGGGGCCCTGGGCTGCAGCCCCCTTAGCCCGTACCTTAATCCGGCCCTGGTCCTGAGCGAAATTAACGAGGCTCGTTGCACCTAGGGTGACTATACGGCCCGTTTTAGAGGTTTATACATGCCGTACTATCATTTTGCCTGAATAAAGTCAAATGTCCTGTTTTTGTGGAACTTGTTTGCAAATATGAGTACCAAGCAAGTGAAGAAAACAAGAAACTGCTATTCATGACAGTGTATTCGAATAAACATAGGATAAAAATTATATCTCCAGTAGTTTGATTTTTAGCTTTTGCTCTTGCTCCACTTGCCAATAAGTTTTGTTCACATATATGTGTGCACGGGGCACTTTTCTATATTACTAAATTTGGCATGCTTAGGTTTTGCAGAATAGGTAAGAAAGGTGCTAGTGTGCTCAACTAATCAACAAAAAGCCCCCGAAAAGTAAGCATTTTCACGGTGAACCAAGTAGTAGCAGAGGTTTTTCTTTTTGTCTCACTTTGACCCCCCTACACTTCCCTCAATGTCCCGTTTTTTTACTCCGACGAGTATGGTCACCCTAGCTAAATCGAAATCTTTGTGTAAATAATGTGACATGCGGCGATTTATTCCGCACGAATGCCGCAGAATGGACGCTGAAGCCTGATTCACACATGAGATTCTGCTCGCTATTTTCAGTCGCAACGTCGCTCAGATGGCAAAAGTGTGGATGGTAGCTACAATGCTCAACGTCAATACTGAAAATCGCAAGTAGGATTGAACGAAGTGAATCGGGCATAACAAGTCGGTGATGGACACTGGTAACAATGATCAACATCTCCTTTCATCCACTGTTTACACTGAGCCTACTTGCCCCAGACAACCTTCAAACTTCTTTTGAGGCCTGAACTTACTTCCTATTGCAAAGCTCTATCTACTGGCTGTTGTCGTTTCAATGAGCAGACAACAGTCTGAACGAGTTTGAAAGAGCAGACAGTTTAAATGATCGGACGGCCGTTTGGACGTGAAGATGCACCGAAAGTGGTCCACACGGTGGTCCGGACAACTTGATGGTTTTCTCGAGTTCATGTTAGAACAAAACAAATAAATATGACGACCACAAGCAACCGTGAATTCAAACTAAAGTGCTTCCCGCACAAGGAATCGTGGTCCGATGGTGTCTGGCTTTCCCTTCTCACGGCACCTATCCACATTCTCGGATGAACCGGGCCAGCAGAAAACAGATCAAAACTGATCTTCACACCTTTCTCAGCTCTTCTGGTACTACAGTAACGTCTGGAGGTAAGCTAGTCAGGGGTTCATAGTAAACATATAATTAAAACAGTGCAAAAAACACAATGACAAGTAGAAGAAGGGACTATGTCTGTGTCCCTTCTATTACTTGTCCTTATGTTTTTTGTGCTGTTTTAATTATATGTTCTTCTGGTACAACCCCAGCCACGGCATTTTGATGAGGAGGCAGGTTTTAGTGCAGTTTCTTCCATAACAATACAGGAATGCCAATCCCGCAAGGTAACTTCCAGTTAAACTCCCAGAACGGAATTGTGTCCGAGGCGCCACCCCCGCGGCGTGACGTAAGAGTTGAGTTGGCGTATACATCAGAAAATACAAGAGTTAAAAAAAATATCAACGGAGTACCCCCTTACGGCACGCGCACTTTTGTGACACCGGACGACTTGGCCTTGTGTATGTGCCTCTTCATGTGGCCACTGAAACCCTTCCTGCTGTACATGACAAGCTTGCACTCGACACACTTGTACTTGTGTGCCCGCTCGTGCGTCTGCACGTGATCCTGAAGCGTCGAGTTGGTGGCAAACGCTGCGGGGCACAACCAGCACTTGAAGGGCCGCTCGCCGGTGTGCGTTGCGACGTGGCGCTCCAGGTTCGCCCTGGTCGCGAACCTCTTCTCACAGGTGGTGCACGCGTGGGGCCGCTCGCCGCTGTGAGTCCGCTCGTGGATCAAGAGTGTCGCCTTCTGCGCAAACCGCATGGGGCAGTGCTCGCACGCATACTTCCGCTCTCCAGTGTGCACCACCATGTGGCGCTCAAGGACCTGCTTCCGCAGGAACCTCATGTCGCAGACCTCGCACTTGTACTTCCTGTCGTTGGTGTGAGAGCGGAGGTGGACCGTTAGGGCCACCTTCTGTGTGAACCTCCTGGAGCAGATGTTGCAACTGTGCGGCTTCTCACCCGTGTGGGTCACCATGTGGATCACAAGCGATCCCTTCCGATCAAACGACTTCCCACACTCCGTGCAGCAATGCTTTGGGGCATGAACCCGCACGTGCACCCTGAGCTCCGTCTTGCTCGCAAACGTTTTGGGGCAGCAGTCGCACGGAAAGCGCTTGGGTGGGGCGTGCATGCGTTTGTGCTTATTCAGCGACATCTCGCGTTGGAAGCTCTCCGGGCAGAGGTTGCACTTGTACTTTTGCTCGGCATGCACTTTACCATGCAATCTCAGCAACACTTTCCGGGTGAAGCCTTTCGGACACAGCCGACACTTGAAGGGTCTCTCGCCGGTGTGAGTCAACATGTGGACTTGCAGGCTAAACTTGCGAACAAACGTTTTGGTGCAATCTTTGCACCGGTAGCGGTTGCTGCTGGCGTGCACGCGCATGTGGGTGGCAAGCTGCGTCTCTTTAGAGTATGACTCATTGCACTGGTTGCAAGTGTACAACATTCCTTTTTCGGATTCAACGCCAGGACGCTCTTTGATGACATCTTGGTTAGTTGGAGCAACACCTTGGTTAGTGCAGAGGACATCCTGGCTGGTGGGCGTAAGGTCTTGGCTAGCACAGATGGCATTCTGACTAGCAGGTGCGACATCTTGGTTAGCAGGTGTGACATCTTGGTTAGCAGGTGCAACACTTTGGCTAGTACAGATGATGTCATAGTTAGCGAGCACTACGTCTTGACTAGTGCAGATGGCGGCCTGGCTGGCGGGTGCGACACCTTGGCTTGCACAGACAACATCTTGGCTAGCACACATGACACCCTGGCTAGCAGGTGTGCCGTTTAACTTCTGGTGCCGCACATGAGAAGTGTCCCTATAAACACAAAAGTGATGTTCTAGACGGCTCTGGTCTTCAAATGATTTCGAGCACCGGTGGCACTTGCGAAGATGCCGGTCGGGGTTCTTCGGCTTTGGCAGGATCCGTTTGTCTTGGTGAACTGGAGAGGCACCTTGGCCAGTGGACACGACGTCCTGGTTAGCAGGTACGGCATCTTGGCTAGCACAGATGACATTCTGGCTAGTAGGGGTGCCGTTTAACTTCTGATGCTGCACATGAGAAGTGACCTTACGAACACAAAAGTGACGTTTCAGCCAGCTCTTGTTTCCAGACTTCGAGCACTGGTGGCACTTGTTCAGACGCTGGTTGGGGTCCTTCGACCTTGGCGGTGTTGGTTTGTCCCTGTGAACTGAAGAGACATCCTGGCTATTGGGCAAAACGTCCTGTCTAGCAAAGATGACATCCTGGCTAGCAAGCATTCTGTTTAACTTCTGGTGACGCATATAACTGCCCCTACGAACACAAAGATGACGTTTCAGCCAGCTCTTGTTTCCAAACGACATCAAGCAACGATGGCACTTGTGAAGGTGCCAGTTGGGGTCTTTCGGCTTTGATAGAGTTGGTTTGTCCTTGTGAACTGGAGAGACATTCTGGCTAGTGGACACGACATCTTGGCTAGCACATAGGACATCCTGGCTAGCGGGCAAAACGTTTAGGCTAGCAACGATAACGTCCTGGCTAGCAGGCGTACCGTTTAACCTTTGGCGCCATACACGAGAAGTGTTCCTATGAACACAAAAGTTACGTTTCAGCCAGCTCTTGTCTCCAAATGACTTCGAGCACCGGTGGCACTTGCCAAGATGCTGGTCGGGGTCCTTCGGCTTTGGCAGTGATGGTTTGCCCTCTTGAACTGGAGAGACGTCCTGGCTTGTGGACATGGCATCTTGGTTAGTGCAGACGACATCCTCGCTAGCAGGCACGACATCTTGGATAGAGCAGAAGACATCCTGGTTAGCAAGCGTACCGTTAAACTTCCGGCGCAACACATCAGCAGTGTCCCTATGAATACAGAAGTGACGTTTCAGCCAGCTCTTGTTTCCAAATGACTTCAAGCACCGATGGCACTTGTGAAGACGTTGGTTGGGGTCCTTTGGCTTCGGCGGTGATGATTTGTCTTCTTGAACTGGAGAAGTGTCCTGGCTAGTGGACACGGCATCTTGGCTAGAGCGGACGACATCCTCGCTAGCAGGCATGACATCTTGGATAGAGCAGAAGACATCCTGGTTAGCAGGCGTACCGTTAAACTTCCGACGCAACACATCAGCAGTGTCCCTATGAATACAGAAGTGACGTTTCAGCCAGCTCTTGGTTCCAAACGACTTCAAGCACCGATTGCACTTGTGAAGACGCTGGTCGGGGTCCTTTGGCTTCGGCGGTGATGATTTGTCTTCTGGAACTAGAGAAACGTCCTGGCTAGTGGACATATCATCTTGGATAGTGCAGACGACATCCTCGCTAGCAGGTACGACACCTTGGATAGAGCAGAAGACATCCTGGTTAGCAAGCGTACCGTTAAACTTCCGGCGCAACACGTCAGCAGTGTCCCTATGAATACAGAAGTGACGTTTCAGCCAGCTCTTGTTTCCAAACGACTTCGAGCACCGGTGGCACTTGCGAAGACGCTGGTCGGGGTCCTTCAGCTTTGGCAGTGAAGGTTTGCTCTCATGAACTGGAGAAACGTCCTGGCTAGTGGACATGGCATCTTGGTTAGTGCGGACGACATCCTTGCTAGCAGGCACGGCATCTTGGATAGAGCAGAAGACATCCTGGTTAGCAGGCGTACCGTTTAACTTCCGGCGCAGCACATCAGCAGTGTCCCTATGAATACAGAAGTGACGTTTCAGCCAGCTCTTGTTTCCAAACGACTTCAAGCACCGATGGCACTTGTGAAGACGCTGGTCGGGGTTCTTTGGCTTAGGCGGTGATGATTTGTCTTCTTGAATTGGAGAGACATCCTGGCTAGTGGACACGGAATCTTGGCTAGTGCAGACGACATCCCCGCTAGCAGGCACGACATCTTGGATAGAGCAGAAGACATCCTGGTTAGCAGGGGCGCAATTTAACTTCTGGTCCTTCACATGAGAAGTGTCCCCATGAACACAAAAGTGACGTTTTAGCCAGCTCTTGTTTCCAAACGACTTTGAGCACCGGTGGCACTTGTAAAAAAGCCGGTTGGAATTCTTTGGCTTTGGTGGCGGCGATTTGTCCTGGTCAGCTGGAGAGGCAAGAAAAGAGATGTTTTGTCATTTTCCTTTTCTGAGTTATCATTTGCAGTAGACTACTTTTTATTGTGGAACATTTATAGGCTAGGTTTTCACGTGAAGTGAAGCCTCAAAAAGCATATCCGCCAATGTCCCCGCTAATTTTAGCAGGGAAAATGTAGTCACATAGACTCAAGTCGTGCAACCTATACGCATATTAAGCTTCCCTGCTAGATTTAGCGAGAAAATTGACATTAGATGACCTCAACACCAATTCAGTTTCTCTGCTAAATTTAGAGGGGAAACCTCTCCCTCCCCCACCTCCCCCTTTGAAGTTTGAAATCCTGCAAAACACCTTCATTCAGACTTAAGGGGGAACACTGGCTAGAGATTTAACTTCTGAACCACTCAAATGATCGGTAATGAAATTTGCAGGGGCCATTTAACATCACATGTATGAGTATTGTGCAAACTTTCAGCTTTCTAGGAGAATTTAATAAACCTGCATAAGATGTGTCACTCTTTGTTAAGAACTCTATGATATGCAAATGAGGCTATTAAGCACCATTTTGACTGCTTGAATATAAAGTGGGGGGGGGGGGGGGGGGATGTGAAACTTTGGGCTATCTAGTTTTTATAACTCAAATGAAAATATTTCAGGAAGAGTTATTACCTCAAAATATTAGATGCTTATCTGTCCTATAACAAATTTTGAAAACACAGTTTTTTCTTAATGAGGACTTCTACTAAAAACAAAAAAAAAGTAGATAGCTTGATTCCCCAGTAAATTTCAGTTCAGAAACATCATAATTGTGTTATCAGAATACTTTTTCCTTCAAACAAAAGATTCCTTCCTATGACATTTGCAGCAAAAAGTGGAACTGAGAAAAATGCATTCAAACATTAAACTCCTTTACTTTGTTACTGCCTCACAATGTGTTGAAAATATTTTATAACTTAACTATTTGGCATATGGTTATCAAATTTAGTGTGAGGGTGTATAATTAGTTTCTAAAACCAAAAACCTCAAATATAAAAAATTCATTTAAAAAAAATTATGAAAAAAAAGAGTATGCAGTACATACTTGAAATTAACTTACCTACCGAGGCTGGAACACAAGTAGCAAAAAAAGTAGAAGCAACATGGGTAGTCTCTTCAGTCTATCGCAGATTGCTTTTCTAAGAGCTAACACCCAAGTGTCTGCCCAAATGAGACTCAGCATCTAGCATCTTTTCCCAAAATAAACCCCGCCTTTTGTGGCCATGCTTCTTGTTCAATATTTATCTTGATTCACTATTACAGACAATTTTTCTGGGCAACAATAAGTGTTCATATTAATGAGACATGAACATACTGAAATAAAAGTAATTGTGCAGGTGAGCTGGTCAACGATGAGAACCCATGTTGTGTTTGTCATCCTCCTCCTCTGCCTCCTCCCCCCGTCTCAAGGTTTTTTTTGTTATGAGATTATTGACGGCCGCAAACTATTTGCTTTGCTTCGAAGTTAATCGTACAAAGGAACTATTGTCTTCCTATTCGCTTCGAACAGAAAAAACGCTATTCACGCATCTCTAGTTTCCTGTTATACGGCGAGAACAAATTTCAGTATCTCAATGCTGGGTAGCTCAAGACCTGCCTCTCACAGAAACCAACACGTGCTGCGACATCCACCACGCTCGAATGCCGAGCTCTTTCATTTACGCTAGTTTTTGCTGATCAGTAAGTTTAATAAGTGCTTGTTTTATCCATTAACAAAAGTAGCCTTTTGCAGTCAATCCATTCCACTGACGTCGATGACCGAGCATGCAAGGTAGAACTCAGAGACGCTGATGAAAACCTAAAAGTACATTCATTCCTTAATTCCTCCGTGGCATTTCGCAGCAATGCCTGAAATTCAAGTCAGCATTAGCTTGCAATTTATTAATGCAAGTTTGCATCTTGCACCCAGACTTACTGCGTAATGACGTGTGCGGAAGCATACAAATAAAAACTGTTGCTGAGAACGCAACACTCATGCATCTGTCTGAACATTTGCCGGTATGCTCAGGTATAGACCCCCATGTTCTACACTAAGCAAAAAACAAAGAAAAATGCTTTTGCCGAGCATTAATAAATAAACAAATTGTTGTCTTCACTTTCCTCACTATGCTAGTTTACCACAAAAATTTTCGAGCCGGTGTTGAGGCACGGACCTTCAGTGGCGGCAAAAGCTCGACTAAAATGTTTAATGAGTAGCAGAGAACCGTCGCTGACCGTCTGGCACAGGCTCCATTGCAGCTGATCTCGGCTTTTGCGAAAACTTAGTTCCCAATAGTTATAAACTTTGAGGAAGGGAGACTCATTGACATAAAGAAGACTGTCCGGTGTAATCTGTGCAGTAGTACTAACAGTGTTTATTGTCTGCATGTTTCATTGATCTCGTGCCGGTGACGGGCATGGCTAGTGCACTGAGCGCACGGCTCGTTTTTCGTTTGACACGAAGCGACTAGGAGTCAACTTTATTTATTTATTTTATTTCACAATACTGCCAGCCCTGCTAAGAGCCAAAGCAGGAGCGGATAACACAAAACAAAAAATGTACCCTGCATTATCTGTGCATCACACACGCACAGTAAAAAAGTCAGTGTTAAAACTCCCCTTACAGAGCTAACCAAGGATTGTTTGGTTTGCACTTCTGGCAATCCAAACAAACCTTGAGCTCGAACCGATCTCATTTCAGTTATGGCATATCAGTACTAATCATCCTGGCACAAGTAAGAAAAATGCACCACCTTCCCCCGAAATACTGTGGTTCCATTGCAGAATTGCAAAGAAAAAAAAAACATTTTCCAATTTGCAGTTGCGTGCAGTGGTCACGCAAACCGCAGCGCCACGTCACAGGGGTGAGCAGGTTGGTGTTGACGTCGCTGGTCTGTAGTAAGGCGGAGCTTTCTCTGCAGGCGGGGCTTGGGAAGCTCTCTCTCGGAGCCTGCCTTGTTGGAACTCCAACGCTTCCTGCTCAGTGTCAACTGCTGCTTCATTAAGAAAGCTCTCCCCAAGTCCCGCGCGCGGAAGAGGCTTCGCCTTAATACGGGCCAGCAACGTCAACACCCGGAAGTTTTCGTGGCGCTGTCTAACGAAGGTCAACAAAACCCTTCCCTCTCTGCTCCTGCTAACCTCCCCGTCGTCCCCGTGGCATTGTTTTGTCGTTCATTTTGTTTCATTTTCATTTTTTAATAAAAATTAGCAAATGCAAATAAAAAAACTGTTGTAGGTGACAGAGATTAATTACCACTATTAATTGGACAAAGTAAGAAAATCGTAGCACTGTCATCTTAAAAGGGCACTGACAAGCTAAAATATTTTTTTTAATATCCGTAAAAATTGAAAACGATGCCAGGACTTACCCTCAAAATTTGAAACTTGGGAATTCAGTATTTGAGAAGTAAAAAAAAAAAAAAAAAAAAAAACTTCAAAGCGCCGAATATGCCTTTTGCAAAATCCCCCAAGCGCCCCGGCCCGCGCGCGAGGAATTGTGGGAGAGATTGTCCCTTGCCTGGCTAGGGTGACCACCTGTCCCGCGACTCGCGGGACTGTCCCGCATTGAGGGCTCGTGTCCCGCGTCCCGCAAGAAATTCCAAAATCTTCAAAATGTCCCGCATTTCACATTGTCGTAACATTCACTGCGCAAATTATGGCGCTTCCGAACAACGGGCAACCGCGGGGGTTGCAGATAAATGTGTGAATCTCAATGGTATGCAATTTTCTTGCCAAGCACTGCGGGAAGCAACTGTCGTTCTTGCTCGAGACTGACGCACATGCGCCGTTGTGCCTCTCCCCTTAATGGCCAAATATTGCGAGCGAAAATTGCTCGCCAAAAGCTGAAAAATAAACTATTGTAACTAGTTGCAAATTATACTGTATCATGTAAAAGGGTTGTTGTAAAAAGCTTTTTTTTTTTTAGTGAAGACCGGCCACAGAGGGCAAAAAACCTGCAACTCACAACGGTAAAAAAACAATAAAATAAGGTTTTAATTTTGTGTAGGAGCATGTTAATATAAGAGTAAGTATCGACTGGAAACAATAAGCCGAAAAATATTTACTGTTTTTTTTTTATTTCCGTTAAATGCATTGGGGTCTGGTGCAGTCGATATTTATGTTTTCAACTTAGATACATTTAATAAAATATTTACTATTACAAATAAACAAAAGTATAGCACTGTGAGTGAAACTTATCTTAGTTTAATTGCCGCATACAATTTTCAGGTGTATAATACGCTTTCGGACAGCACAGGGTTTTGGGGAGTGCGCGTTGGTGAATTTCCCTTAATACTTCCTTCTTGAGTCGTGAAAATACCGTCCTCTTCTTACTACTACTACTACTACCCCCCCCCCCCCCCCTCCCCCGGTCAGGGTGTCCCGCATTCCACCGGCAGGAAGGTGGTCACCCTATGCCTGGCCGCTCTGCCTTGAGATCGCATTGCCTTGTCGCTTGTCTCCACTTAATCCTCTGTTTTTCGATTCTATTACCTATTTTTATTTATTCCAGTGTGTTTTTTATTGCTTCTAAGTGTTTTATTCTCTTCGGCGTGCGATATTTCTTGTGTATATATATATAGTATTTGTGTCTTTATTTTGTCTTTTTCAACGGGAGTGCCAACGGACAACACGCCGCTTCGCCCATCGTTCCCCGGGTGAGTACTACCGTTGCTACCAATTCCTATTGCTCCGTTAGCTGTTAATTTTTAGTTCATTTGACCCGCATGCAGCCGCATGCAGTTTATGAACCACCCGCACATGTCATAGGGGTAGGCAGAGCTCTGAAT